TTAAACATTTTGATTTTCTAATTTTACTTCCCTGCATATATGCTTTTCTACCAACTCTCAGAAGTCATCAGTAAATTCTTAAAGAGAGGGGACTCCAAACTACGCTATTTTTTCCCCCAAAACTCTGGAGTTTTCTCTGCCATAGAGAAGTCTGAAAATAGAGACCAGCAGTTCTGCCTTGAAAACAAGCAGCTGATGAGTCTGTGAGTCACCAGTTGCCCCAGGGGACTGCCTACTCCCCTGACATCAGGTGCCCAGGGGCTTTTGGTAAATGTCAGGTGCTGCTGCGTGTGGTTGGTGGTGCTGGCGTCAACTCAGGAAGTGGGAAATACCTAGCACCACTCTAAAAAAAGGGAAGCCCACTGCTCTTCTGCCAGTGATGTCTGAAATAGAAAATGGGGTTGCTAAAATGTGGTTTCAGCTACCTAGAAGTTGAAACTGCAGAGTTTGGTAGCATTGTTATCAAAGATCTAATTTATCAAAAGGGAAATCATGAAGGTATTCATTCAACTTCTGAGAAGGTGAACAAAAAAGTAGTAAATAGAGAACTCACATCAGTTAACAAGAATGAAGTAGTATTACGTGTACTAACAAAGACAGATCTCCAAGATATATATTAAGTGGAAAAAGCTTGCAGATAGATGCATGCATATCTTGTATATGAAAACAAAGCAATACTCAAGACCAATAATATCAACACACATAATGATGCTACATAATAAGGGCACATATATATATATGTGACCATAAAAAGGTTTGTACCATGCTGATAATAATTTATTACTCTGGAGAGGGAAGAAGAGGGATTTGGATTGTGGACAGTAGTCAAAAGAACTTGAACTGTAATATGTTTTAAAGGAAAGTTTCATTTATAAGTTTTAAAACTTAAAATTAATTTAAAAAGAAAAATATTAGTAACTGTTAGAGTTGGCAAATACTAGACATGATCCTAAATAAGGCAGGGTATTAACCTCTTAAGTTTGTTAAATAGACATGGCTTTATGACTTTCTATAAATATCCTGTTTGAAACAGACCATATAAAAGATGCCCACACATTGTGTGAAAAATGTGAAAATGTGAAAAGGAATATTGTCATATTCAAGCTGAGTAGTGGTGGAACAGATACTTTCCCTAACAGGCCTATATTATTTGGATTTGATCAATAGTGTTGAGTTCTGATATTTCTACAGGGCTTTGTGGTTTTTAAAGTATCTCATTCGAATCTCACAACTGTGCCTAGTAGGGCCAGACTTGTAATTTTTTTTTTTTTTTTTTTTTCAAAAGATGACCGGTAAGGGGATCTCAACCCTTGGCTTGGTGTTGTCAGCACCAGGCTCAGCCAGTGAGCGAACTGGCCATCCCTATATGGGATCTGAACCCGGGGCCTTGGTGTTATCAGCACTGCACTCTCCCGAGTGAGCCACGGGCCGGCCCCCAGACTTGTAATTTTGATTTCATGGATTAGAAAATTGAGGTTCAAAAAATTAAGTGGTTTGTCTAAAAATCAAAGTTAGTAAAGGAGCAGAGCATTTATATTTTCCAGGAGCTGAGTGCTTTCTCTAATTTCTCTATTCTCAACAAATCCAGCCCCAATAGTGAAAGCAGCTGTGAAACCCTAGATTTCATCTTCCTTCTAGCTGAGTTTTTATTTTACCCACTTTCTACTTAAAGTGAGACTGACTAACTCAAAATCCAAAATCCAATTTCAAGACATAGTTGTTTCTGCCAAGGGGATTTTCCAGTCCATAGGAAGTTTGCTTTCAAGAACAACACTTTGCCTCCACCCTGGCACTAGTTGCAAGTGGTAACATGATGCTGGGCTTGATACCGCAGTCCTGTGCCATCTGGTGGCAGCTGGCACTCTGTCACGTCCTGTTGATGTTTCATGACGGGTCCATGCCTTGTCTTCCCGGCTAAGTCAGAGACCATAGGGACCTTCTGTTATTTTTCCTTATTCCCGAATGGCCTCTCAGTGAATATGCACTGGATAAGACCCTTTAGCCTCATAATGTAGCCAGAACAGACAAACTTATGTGTGGTAACACACTCTAAAAAACAATACACCACCCATGAGAATGGACACTTCTCAAAATAAACTCTGGCTCTTCCTCCTCACCCCTCCACACCTGTTCCTCCCACACTCCTCTCAGTCAGTGGCGATTCAACCTTTCCAGTTTGTAATCCCAAAACTTTAGAGTCATTCCTTTCTTTTTTTCACACCCTACTTACAATCCTTTAGCAAATCTTGTTGATTGTGCCTTCAATTCCATCCAGAGTCCAACCATTTCTAACCACCTCTGCTGCTACCACCCTGGTCTACACCACTGTCATCTGTCACCTGGATCAGTAGCACAGCCTCCATATGCATCTCCCTAGAGCAGCCCGTGGCACCCGGTTTCTTTTCAGTACAGCAGCCCATTGGCTGGATCCTATTGCCGTCGAGCTCAGACCATATCATTCCCTCTGCTCAAAAACCTCCACAGCTTTGCTCAGTTCACATGGAGCAAAATCCAGAGTCCTTGCAATCCTCCTACTCTTCCCTCTGAGCCCCTTCTCTCTAGTGCCCCTGGAGTCCATACTCTTTCTCAGGCACCCTATTGTTTATTCTCTCTTCTCTGGGGTTTTGCACATAGTCTGCACAGTACCTGAAATACCCTTCTCCCTTATGTCATGGCTAGCTTGCTCATCTCCTTCAAGCCTTTGCTTAAATGCCACAGTCTCAGGGAGGCCTTGCCTGACCACCCCATTTAAAACTGCAGGCACCCCCCGCCCCCACCCTGCAACACACACATACACCCCTCTGTGGCACTTCTTATTCCCTCGCCTGCCTTATTCTCCATAATACATATCATCTTCTAACATACTAAATATTTGTTTCCTCTGTCTAACTCCCCACAAGAATGTTTGCTCCACATCCCCTACAAAAGGAGGGATTTTTGTTTGTTTTGTTCATTGCTGTGTCCCTCAGCTTCTAAAACATGCCTGGTACATAACAGATGCTCAATAAATAAGTGTCGAATAAATCAGATTGGCGAAGATGAAAAATTAGGTTGCATCTCGTAATGGTGGGAGTATAGGGGAAAAGATACTTTCATATGTTGCTGGTCAGAGTGTAAATTGGGATGATCTTTTTGGAAAAAATTTGGCAAGATCCATCACAATTCAAAAGACATCTTATCTATGACTTAGCAATCCAACTGCCAGACATTTATTCATTAGATATTTTTGCAGATATGGCCAAATATATTGGTTCAAGGATGTTCACTGCAGCATTATTTTAATAACAAGAGGCTGAAATTAACCTTAAATGCCCACCAAAAGGGGTCTGGTTAAATAACATATGGGCATCCATGCAACTGTTAAGACGATAGAGGAAAATAAACATGCACTCACATGGTACAGTCTCCATGATACACTGAGTGAAACGAGCCAAGTGCAGAAATGTGTGGAGTATGCTGCTGTTTGGGTAAAAAAGGAGGAGGATATGTGTACATGTACTTACAAGTTTGTACAAACACAAACGCATCTACGTATATATTAACATATAAATCAACACATAAATAGCTCTGAAAACTCACAAGTCGTGCCTTTTTTGAGGGGGCTATTCAAGGAGTGGGAGGTTTGAAAACAAGTTTTTACAACATTGTGAATATATCACTAAAAAACAAACGAACAACAACGAAAACCCCACCTCTATCATGCGTCAATCCATGCTCTTTTGCGAACTTTTACTTTGTGCGTGACTGCCGTATTTAAAATATGCCCTAAACTCTGCTTTGAAGGCGTGCGAGGGTGGGGGGAGGACCTTTTATTTCCTCCCGCAGTGAAGCCAATAAAAAGTATGACTGGATTCAGCCCAACCTCGTGCTCTGTGGCTCGAGGGCTTTCTCCTCGCTGCCCTCCCCCAGCCCCGTTGCCAGCCCGTCAGTGCCCTCGGATTTTGCCATCTGGCTGGAGTCCCTGCTTCCTCCTTAGAGGGCAGCAGCGGGGCGTCTCGGGGACGCATGCGCCCCAATTTGAGCCCAGGGAATTAAAAGAAAGACGCGGGGGCGGGGGGAAGCCCCAACCAAACACGAGCTCCAAACAAAACCCAGATGGAGAAAGGCGCGCGGCCCTGAGCCCCGGGGCTGTGGAGGCGCCTCCGCCCTCGCCCGAGTCCCCGGCCGCAGCGTGATGCGCACGGACCGGCC